CATGGTGCGGACGCGGCCAGAGCCATGGATTGCATCTAAGTTGCGGAGTGTTCAGGCATGTTGCAGGCTTGGGGTTTAGGGTTTAGGGTTTTTAGGGTTTGGGGTTTAGGGTTTAGGGTTTCAGGCTTCGCTTTTTGGCATCCATGAGGTTTATATCAGAGTCTCTGCCCGGGATGAGGGTTCAGAGCTCAGGGGCTTCTAACTTTGGGAATCTACGGCTTTTGGCATCTCGATGTGCTAGGGTCGTAGAGTTTTCGGGGCTCCTTTTTCGCGGGATCCCGTGAAGAATCTGTTAGGGTCCCCTAAACCCTAAACCNNCCTAAAACCCTAAACCCCCAAGCCCCTAAACCCTAAACCCTGAACCCCTAAACCGGAAAGTCTCAAGACGGCTTCTCGAAGAGTCTTCAGAAGCTTAGAGTTCGTGCGGTTTCAGGATAAGGCTACCCATAGGCCCCATAGTAGCTCCTCTTCGTGGCGTATATTTAGGATCCTTTTAAAGGGAATCCCCAACAAGGAATTACTATGGGGCCGATGGGTAGTGCCTATGGGCCACGGGGTGTTTAGGCTCCCGAGGCTCCGGGGGATTCCAGAGTTGGAGTGGTTGAAAAACTCGGTTGTTCGATGCATATTTCTGGTTTAGGGGGTTTGGGTCTACTTAGTTCTCCAAGACCCAACCTTGAAACTTGTTGAGCTCTTATTGCTTAGCTTAGTAGTAATCTGAAAGTTTAACCTTTCGTTTTCGTGGCCTATTTGGGGAAGTAAGTTTAAGGGTTTAGGGTTTAGGGGTCTGAGGATTAGGGGTTTAGGGTTTCAGGTTGTTGATTTTCGCGAGCCTTCACCCCTTTGCGGCTCAAGAGGCCCCTGGTCAACGGTTTATTGTATGCAGGGTTTAGCTGAGGGCAGTCCTGATAGAGGGACACTCTAGGCCCGAAAAACCCATAGGCTCTAAACCTTAAACCCAAAATCCCTAAATCCTAGAAGTCACAAGCCCTATAAACCCTAAACCCAAAGCCCTGAGTGAGCCCTAAACCCTGTACCGCTTCTGATTTCTCCGTGATCTGGAAGAATGGCTGCAGCAGGCAATGCCCAGCAGACATGGCAGGAAAAACAAGAGTCTGAACAGGACGCCCAAGCCGAGGTAATCAAGGCCAGGGTTCGTGATCCTGAGACTGACTTTAGGGTTCAGGTTAGGGTTTGGGGTTTAGGGGTTTAGGGTTCAGGGTTTAGGGGTTGAGGGTTCAGGGTTTAGGGTTTAGGGTTTAGGGGTTTAGGGGTCTCGGGCTGTTTTGAAAGGTCTGCTGAAGACCCAGCATGTCTCGGATGCAGTGCTGGCAGCCACCAGGTCTTACTCTTTTTCAACTAACGCGTCGACCAGAGATTGCAAAGCGTGGCTTGAGGGCCTGAGCACAGAAGACGCTCAAGATATTTTCTTGTGGCTTTCCATTGACACGCTCGGCAACAAAAGAGTGTTCCCTGGAATGGCACGAAGTGCCATTCAGGTCGCTCCTTGGCCAAATTCTCAAGCCAAGTTGGCCTTGCGTGGTGTGTTAGCTGATCTTCCTGAGTGGAAGAGTTTGACGTCAAGTGGCTCGGCATCGGCATCTGCTGCGTCGTCTGATCTTGCTGATCAGAAAGCCAACGCGATTGAAAGGATCCTACAAATCATCCTAACAACATCAAGGGATATTCGGTGCTCTCTCCACGTCAGCCAGCTCCTTGGGGTTTACTCCGCACATCTTGTGGAAAACGCAGTGCACGTGGCAGTATTCTCACCCTAGAGAAACTCAAGGGTCTGAAATCGCCCTAAAACCTAAACTCCTAAGCCCTAAACCTTAGGGTTTCGGGTTTCGGGAGCCCACAGCTGCAACGACCGTACCCGGGTTGACTCTCGTTAACCAACGAGGCTTTGCCCCAAGCAGGGGGCGAGGAGGTGAAGACGCAGGGTTGAGGTTTTAGCGGGTTTAGGGTTTAGGAGTTAGGGCTTGGGGGGTTTAGGGTTTTAATTTTGCCTCCGAGCTCATGCAGGTGCTCAACGTCCGAAGGTTAGAGAGCTTCAAGGGCTTTAAGATGGCTTCTGCTTGCACAGGATCGTATTCTGAGCTGTTCTGTGCAGTAAACCCTAAACCCCATTCCCAAAACCGTGACTTGGAGCTCGAGGCCTCAAGGAGACAGGCTTTGCTGAATCTGCGGACGGTTTTGCCACGAGTTTGCCCACCTGTAGAAGGCCTGTGAACGAAGACTTTCATGAATGGCTGTTAGGGTTTAAGCCTTACGTTCATGGCTCGAAATGTAATGAGATACTAGTGTTGGCATATTCCCTTTTAAGCCTCCGCCCGAAACGCACAACCCGCCCACCAACATCTGGGAGTAAGCGGCCCAACTACAGACTCGAAGCAGTAACATCATCACTGCACGACACCCGAAAGAACAGCCCCTAAACCCAATCCCAGAGTTCCCTAATCTACCCAAACCAACCAGTCAGGATAACTCCAACTCCTATTTCACCGTCCGTGTCGCAAATTCGACGGATGCGTGCAAACAGCCCTCTGGCAGCCACTGCAGTACACGGTGTTCAGGATATGATTTTCACTGCGTATTGCAAGGTGTTGTGAGGTTTCTTTTGTTATGATGGCTTACAGGGGTTTACACGAAAGGGTTTCGATTCAAGGGCTTGCAGTAAGAATTTTTATAAAGCCCTCATGTAGACGGGTTCACGGTTTATGTTTTGGCCGCCGGAGCTTACTTAGGGCTTGGGGTCGGGGGTTTTGCGCGCTGGGGTTTTGGGCTGAGGGGCTGAGGCTCATGGTTCCCCAGACCCCCAAAAAGATCTAAAAAATAGATCCCCTAATTAGGGACCCTAACTACTAAAGGGTACTTTATAGGAACCCCCTTTTAGGGGATCCATTTTTTAGTTCCTTTTGGGGTTCAGGATTTACCACAAATCCCCAAAGAACCTACCTTTTGAGGACTGTTATCAGGAAATCATAACAAGGATCCGGTAGGTTCTTCAGGGTCCAGGTAGGGTTCAGGTTTTTTTGGGGTTTAGGGTTCGGGGTTTTCCGTGGCTTCTTACAGGCCATGTCTCGCCGTACACTGAATCGAACGAGACCGTAGAGTGCTGATGCGGAGAAGAACTCTGCTGAGATTCCCGAAACAATACAATATAGCCGGAGACCCTGAGTCGTAAACCGCAAAACTGAAGCCGCACAACCTCAAAATCAATCACCCCTGAAACCTTAAAGCCGGAAACCCTTGAACCCTAAGCCGCATCCTAGACCACGGATTCAGGTTTGAAGTTATGGTTGAAAGCTCGAAGACTCGAACCAGAGGCAGGCTTCAAGCCTAAACTGGCCTAAGCCCTCAAACTCTAGTTTAGGGTTTAGGGTTTAGGGTTTAGGGTAAGGTTTTGGGATATACTTCAGAGGTGCGAGGGCAATGATGAAAATCCCCGATAGACATTGTCATCGACCTTGCCGAAGAGGCCATCACAAGCAACGGAATTGCCGCAAACCTTTAAAAATTCTAAACCTCAAACCCTGAACCCTTCAACTCCTACAACCTAAAACCCTGAACTCCAGATTCCTCCCTTCAAGGGGATCCCCTGAAAGAAGACCTATAAACCTTATAAGCCTTAGAACCCAAACACCCCAAACCCTAGGGTAATCCCTAAACCCCTAAACCCTA